ATAAATAAGCTTTCCATTGATGTATGGTTTGTTAGGATAGGACAATATTTGGCTGAGATACAACTACTTAAAAATCTGGAATCTGAGGGTGAGTTGTCTAAATGAAGTCTTAGCAATGCATATTGCTAATCAAAAATTAAGTTTTAATATATTTACGGCAGGAAATTTACAAAATATCTTCATGGAACATGATCTTTACTTAATATCCTAATGATTTTTGGCATAAAATAAAAATCGATAATTTTGACCCATACAATGTTTTTTTGGCTATTGCTAAAAATATAACCCAGCGACTTAAGACTGGTTTTGTGGTCCAGGGTCACAAATGGGCAGATGTCATGCGTTCCATACTTAAGTATTTTTTTCTGGATGGATTTCCTTGTGCTTTGAGGTACATTCAATGCATTTACATTTCATTACATTTAAGGAATGTAGCAGACGCTCTTCCAGAGTGACAAAAAGTCCATTAAATGTCATGTGAGAGACCACTCTGTCAAAAGATGGTGGGCAATTATTGGGGGAAAAAAAGGTTACTTAAAAGGGGAAATTTCTTAACATTTGAGTGCGAGGACAGCAAAGTGGTGAACCTAGTAATGGGGTTGATGTTAGTGTGAGGAGTGAGATGGCAAATTGTGGTAGTTAAATGGTTGAGTCGTCCTGAATTCCAGTCCTTTTGGGAAGGTCCTTCCCATGAGTCTGGATTAATTTCAATGAGTCTGGGTAATTACAATGGGAAAGTTTATATTTCTTAAAATATTTTTCACTTCCTGACACAGACAAGAAACATTTTAGCGCTATGAAACAAAATGAAGATGAAATTCACTAAGTTTGAATATTTGGGGAAGATCAACCAATCTGCAGTAGTAGTCAGTCATGATGGGAGGCCTGATCAAGAGCGAGTTGTCAAAGCAGGAGCATGGTTAGGTAGCTTCTGAAAAATGGTCTTCTAGAGGCAGAACAGCTTGTCAAACATACAACAATGTTGGACAAGCTACTCAAAAAATTAGCAGTATAAATTGCTTGCATTCCTCATCTGCTATCTTTTACATTATTTAAAAAAAAGCACTGTAGGCTATAAACTAAAAAAAAAAAAAGAATAGTAAAAAATTAACTTAAAGAATAGATTTGTTTTACGCTGCCTTTATGACCTTTTTGGATCTTTAAAATTTTGGTTACCTGGACTTTTGATGGAGGAACAGATTCATTTAATTTGTGTTTTGAAGATTAGCCAGAGTCCTCAGGGTTTGGAATGACATGATGGTGAGTAAATACAATTTAAATAAAATAAAATAAAATACATTTTTGGGTGAACAATGCTTTAGAGGTTGCTTTTGTCCAGTGGATTGTGCAATATTTTACTCATACTGATTTTATTAAGAATGTCTGTGACGAGTGGCGCAGGTGTCGCTCATTTATTCCAACATCCTCGCTCCGCTCCCACAGCTCTCTGCCCCTCTCCACTCGTCACAATGTCCTTTTATGTAATTTGTGATCTTAGCAGGGCCGTGCACAGACCTTTTGAGGGGCATGTGCTGAAACGGAAAAAGGGCCCCCCCCTTAATGACAAATGAAATAACACAAAATAATAGTCTCAAAAGCTTTAGAGTTATTCACTATTAATAACAGCCATATATATATATATAGGGTTTCTTAGGTCTAAGAGTTTCTTTAGAAAGTAGAAAGTTCTTTAGTCCTTTTTTTAAAATCAAATGTAAATTCCTGTCTCAGTCACATGTTCTTGGTTAAATAAACATTACTTACACTACCAGAAAACAACAACAACAAATGCAATCCTATTTTATATTTTTACATTAACAATGCAATCAATATTCTGTTTATTAAAGCCAAGTATGAATATCATCAAGTTTTTAAGCATTTTACATTTATTCCAAAATAATAACAAGGCAGTAACAATTTAAACAAAATATTTTATTTGTTAACGAGCCTTTATAGACATAGTGTTTCTTGCGTAAAGAAAACGCTGTATTATTCAAACAACACGATCTTTATTTACACTTTCAGACC